TGCACTTATTTGAGTCCTTAAGACCTCTAGAAATGTAAAAAACGTAAAATAGATCAATTTTAAAGATAAATTTTTTTTGATCTTTGTCGAGATTTTACTCTACTTTTGACACCCATAGTGTTCTATTAATAATACCTCAAAAACTATGCACCGTAGAGGATTTTAACCTGCTGTTCAACGCATAATTTTATGGCTAGAAAACTAAATTTTAAGTGTTCTCCCACTGAAATTAATTGACTATTTTTACGATTTCACTACCGCTCTTCTTCAAAAGGTCAAAAAATTTGTAATTTTTTAATCTTGTCCCAATAACGTTTTATGCACTTTTTTGAGTTTCTAGGGGTTTTAAGTACTCAAAAAAGTGCATAAAATTACTAATAAAAGATTACCTATGCAACTAGCAATACACTAAATTTACATAAACTTTGCCTACATAAATAGTTGTTTACATTAGGCAACCAACAGTATACTAAATCTGTTTTTATTTTTTTAGGGTTAGGCAATTTTGAAACAAATTTGGGGTATTGTTCTAAACTATTACGAATTTTGCATTTCTCTCGGCGCCAATCATTCTCCTTATACGATGAATCGTGTTTAAAGAAAATCAATTTTTTTAAGTTTTCAAAACTTTAATTTAACTTTACATAAAACATGTGACTGTTGAGAGATAATCCTCATTGAGACTAGAAATATAGGTATGTATGCAACAATTATTATGTATTTGTTACAATTATGTTGAATTAGTTATTTCATTAGACTCCTGCTTTTGAACACTTGACGAAGTATTTTCATGTACTTGTGGTAATTCAACATTTTCTGGAGGCACAGTCATCACACTTCCATCATCCTCGGCCATAGCAATACCAATAGTGGCTCCAATTTTACTTGAAGCTTGTCTAAATGTGTCGCTTAATTTAACCTGTACTACATTTATACACATAGACATCAAAGCCAATCCAAAAACTAGGTAAGCGATAGAAACAATCATACAAGCTGGATCCTTAGGTACCAAATCGCCAAAACCTATAGTAGTCATAGATATAAAAACGAAATAAAAAGCATCAAAAAACTCCCAATCTTCCCAAAACGAATAAATCACAGCACCAAGAAAAATATAGACAATAAGAATAAAAATAGCTAAAGATATAGGCAAATTAAATTCATCATCAATTTCAAAATTAGATATTGCTGGTGTGACAGGAGTTTCCAGGTGGGCAGACGTCAAGTTTTCAGGATCATCGACAGTTGAAGGACGACGAAAAGTTGCTATTTCGTACATTTTTTGAGCACCTTTAAAGAAATCCTACAAAATAATACTAATTTTAATCCTACAATATTTAAAACAATTGATAAAAATTACCTCAACATGGGCAGTTTTACGAGCTCTTCGACAGCTTCCAGTATAGTAAAGACGGCGAACAAATGACCAAAAAAATTTTATACAACGAGTAAACAGTTTACCAAAGTCGGTTAGTGCGATAAGAAAGAGAGGAAGGCCAATAAGTGCATAAACAATCGTAATTACTTTGCCAGATGTCGTTTTTGGGAAAATGTGACCGTAACCTAAAAAGTAAAAAAATAAAAAAATCAATTTTCTGTTTAATACTTTAGTATAATTTAAAAAAAAATATTGGGGTAATTTAAAACATATCTTTAAGAAAACATAGTTTTTTAATAATATGCATTTGTAGCGTTCGCATTGTTTTTAAATACATATAACTAAAAATCATAAATTTTATATTAGTTACTTAGTACAAAAATAACTGCTATTTAAATTAAATTTTTAAATTTTAAAAATTTTAATTTGAAATTAAAGTAATTCTAATTAAGTTGTCATTTAGATATTTCCTAAATGACAAATTATGGTAAAATTGTGTGATTGCAATTTATTGTTTTGTCCACTAGTTCGAAAATTTTTAACCCACTTTAAGATTAAAACTAGCACAAGTGTTCCAAATTACCTATTGCGTCAAGATGCAATTTGTGTCAAAACGTATGTTTAGAAACGTTGATTATAAATATATTTACACTTTGCTTCAACCTTTTTTAGAATATCATACATCATCTGCCTTAAATAATTCTGAACAAAACGAATATTTTATTTATGTAAATACATACCTATACTAGTATACACTGTACCGCAATAAACAATTGCGTTAAAAAACGACCACTGTTTTTCTTCTTCCTTTTCTTTATTAATTTTTCTCTGTTCATTTTCGATCAACACTTCTTTGTGACGTTCGAAAAGCTCTTTTGCTTCTTTCGTCCATTCTTCATCTGAAGAATTCAAAGGCATTCGTAGAGATAAATTTCTTAAATCTATAATCAATTTGTGCCTAGATGCTCTTACATCAATGGCCTGAACTTTACTTTCGTTAATTTGTTTGTTTTCGTGCGCACCTAAATATACAATTGTTTAAAATAGTTAAAATATAATTCTGCAATAACTCACCTTCAATCGCCATAAAAACAAAAGCGCCACCAATCGTATACAAAATTAACACCAGTGTTAGAAAAGTATGCGTAAACCACTTTCTACTCCATTGTTTTAGTTTGGTGTAAAGCCAAATAGCGCATTTTTCGCCGAAACCTAATCCTGACTTGGTTAAGTCTTTAATTCCGTGTAATTGTTCGAATATAAAAACCGATTGTCTCTTAAAATATGCGGGATGTGGAGCAAGACCTGCCGTTTGGGCAGTCGCAATGTACTGAGAAGGATATCTGTTGTATTCTTGAGGAGAGGGTATTATTAAATGTGGTCTTGGTTTTGCAAAACCCACTTGCTTTTTCGACGATACTGAATTTGATGTTTTCACTGATGTTGGAGTTCCAATTGATTTGATAGACGTCGATTCATTAAAAGTTTCCATTTTACCATGTTTTTAATTCACTATATAATTTTAACGAAATTAGCTTTATCGTACAACTGCCACGACCGAAAGATCAAGAGATACAAAGCGTCGAGACGACTCTTTAACAAGATTTCTCTCTCTCTCTCTCTCTCTCTCTCTCGGTTTTGACGTCGTATATTTCTACGCTTACGATTATAAATATCTCAGTGAAACTGACCCGTTGTTGTTCATCTTCCTCAAATATCGTTTTTAATTTTAACAACTCATTGCTGTATTTTTGACATGTGAATTACAAAAATTATTAACTATGTATAAATATATGTACAGGGTGCATTTTGGATATCCGAATAGGGAATCTCCGAAACTAAGATGTTTAGCTAAAAACGTGTGAGAAAATAATATTGGTTAAAACCGCATCCCGCTATCGTCTTTTATTTTCGACTTACAGACAAAAGTTGACATTTTGGCGAAATCTAAAAAAATTCATATATTCGTTATTATAGAAGATACGGATTTGAAATAAAGACATTATACAGGCACTTTTTTAAGAGGAATTTAATAATGTAGTTAACAATTTTTTTCAGTTATTAGTTTAGCCGTAATAAGATAGATAATAAAGCCGTAATAAAAATAGATAAAATTATAAAGATTTAAAAAATACGATACGTTAGAAGTATGGAACAAATATGCGACCGCCTCAGAATTAAATTATTACATATTTTTAAAAAAATCCAAAAATAAGAAAAACAAATGTGTCAACAGTCAATACAATTAGAAAAAACATTTTTTTGATGATCTAATGGAAGTAGGATAACGTTCCACATAGACGGAATTTTGGGTATTTTAATAGCCATATCGTCATTATTTTTGTGTCAAAAAAAATATATTTTATTGGCGAATTAAAGCGGCTATTTTTTTAAACACTCTTTGTAATACTAGCAGTTACAATAGTAATGTTAGCTTGTTTAAAAACAAAGAAATGTTATTACATGCCAATAAGTTGATTTACAATTTATTTTGCATTTTTTTCATTACTTAGTACTTAGAAAACTCTTTCATTAGTAATACTGGTTGAATAATATAGTTTAAATCCTTTTAGTTTACGATGCAACATTTTTTCATGGCCAACTGCAAACAAAAATCAAAGATAATTTTTTGCTAAAAATGTATTATAATAATTTGTTACAAATACATATTTTTTTGATAAGAAAAAAACAAACTTTTTAAAAATGACATAGCCATCTATGATTCCCATTTAAAAAAATACAAGTTTATTTTATTACGGCTAAACAAACAACTGAAAAAAATTGTTAACTACATTATTAAAATCTACTTAAAAAAGTGCCTGTATAATGTCTTTATTTCAAATCTGTGTCTTCTATAATAACGAAGATATGAATGCGGTTTTAACCAATATTATTTTCTCAAAAAATGAGCCCCAGAATGTATTACTCGTTTTTGGCTAAATCTCTTAGTTTCCGAGATTCCCTATTCGGACATCCAAAATGCAGCACCCTGTACAAATAAACAAATCCTCTTTTATTATACAAATTCAGAATCTTAAAACTTTAACTTAGCATCAAACAACAATTGTATTTAGTATAATTTATTTGAAAAAAAAAAACTATAATACATACGTACAAACCAAGTATTTTTATGTACCAACATCACTCATAAAACGTACCACAATATGAGTATTTCTGAAATATTATTCAGCTATTTTTACGTTTATCTTTAGTTGGATTTTTAGAGTCATCATGCACCGGCACCATTTCAACGTTGTCGGGAACCACTGTAGTAATGGCCCCGTCATCTTCAGCGACGGAGAGACCAATGGTGGCACCAATTTTGGTAGAAGCTTGTTGAAAAGTATCACTTAATTTTGCTTGAACAACATTGATACACATTGACATCAGTGCGAGGCCAAAAACTAAGTACACAATAGAAACCATCATACATGCGGCGTCGTTCGGTACCATATCTCCGAATCCGACTGTAGACATCGATATAAAAACAAAGTAAAAAGAATCGAAGAAGTTCCAAGCCTCCCATAACCAATAAATGAGAGCCCCGACAAACATATAGACAATAAGAATAAAAATAGCTAATGTAACAGGAAGATTAAATTCGTCATCGATTTCAAAGTTTGACATTGCGGGTGTTGTTGGAGAAGGAGTGTCAGTTTGTTCACTATTGGCCAATACAGAAGGACGACGAAATGTTGCAATTTCGTACATCATTTGTGCTCCCTTAACAATTTCCTAAAATAAAAAAATAAATCTGACGCCAAATTTTGTCAGTACTTACCTTCATATGTGCTGTTTTTCGCACTTTCCGACAGCTTCCAGTATAATAAAGTCTTCTAACAAACGACCAAAAAAATTTGATGCATCTGGTAAAAAGTTTTCCAAAATCGGTTAGCGCCAGAAGAAAAAGAGGAATTCCGATTAGAGAGTAGACGATAGTCAAAGCCTTTCCAGTTTTTGTTTCAGGATAAATATGTCCATAACCTGAAACAATAATTTTTTTTTTAATTAAAATTGTTATCTATAATATTTTACTTATACCAATAGTTGTAACTATAGTTAGACAATAAACAACGGAATTTAAAAAACTCCACGACCTTTGACCACTGTATGTTTTCATTCCGGCTTCATGTGCTGTATGGAGTTCTTCTTCAAACGTTCTTAGTTTATTTCTTGCTAGACTTTTCCATTCTTCTTCCCTAAGATTATGACTTTTAAGCCATAACATATCTATAAAGTCTCGTTTGACTCGTTTTACGCCACATTTGTAAAAATGTTCAAAACTTCCTTCAACAAACTTAAACATAAATCCACCCAGTCCACAAAAAATTATAATTAGAAAAAGTTCACACATACATCGATTCCTTAAAATACGGATCTTTCGGCATTCGTCTTTCATATCGGATTTAAATGCACGAAAGTTCACTAACAATTCTTTAATTGTAAAAAGACGAAAAAGATCAAAAAGTTGCTTGATGTGAAAATCTAATTCCATCACTGATTTAGTGGCGATTACATTTGATGTTTTTGGATCTAAAATTTCAACGATTTTGGAACAAGTTAAAGAAGCTAGAGTTCGTTGTTTTTTTCTTTGTCGCACAAATTCTTGCACTTCTGGCCTAAAAGGTTTCGCAATGGAAAGATCGACGTTGTTGTCTTCGAATGGTAATCTTTTCGATTCGTCTAAAAGTTGTGCCTTGCGAAAGCTCTCAATCAATTCTTCTTGTGTGAATGGGTGAGGTGCTGACTGACTTCTCTTCACTTCTTCCTTGTCCAGCTTTAAAAGTCTTTCGCGACCTCTTATTGCAGCCGCAGTTAGTCCTTTTTTTGTTTTATTAAACAAATTGACAACTTCAGCCTGGGCTAATTCACTCAAGCTTTCTTTTTTCCTATACTCGTCTATGACTTGTTTGGAAAAACTGTGAGATTTTTTAATTTTAGTCTCCGGTTTTTCAGCAAACTCTTTCTCTGTTTCAGATTTCGTATCGTCTTTACTCACGATTTTTTTTCGACGTCTTCTTTCGGGTGTTTTTGGTCGTTCTTCTGGTACATCTTCGTCTGTTGTCGTTTTATCTTCAAGTTCTTTAAGAGGTGTTTTATCTCGCCGACTAGCTCGTCGTTTCGTAAAATTTCGGCGTTTTTTTGCTACCGAAGCACTGTGCATTTGTTCAGGTGTAACCATTGCTTCAATTCTAGCTATGTCTATTTTTTTTTCTTCTGTATTTGAGTCATCTTGAATTTGTAAAGGTGCTTGCGATGCCATTTTGTCGAGACTAAGTTAAATTTAGAACGAGTAAAGCCAAGAGTATGGGAGATACATAAAGCAATGCTGCGAAAAGTATTTTTAAATGCAGACCTCGACCAAATTTTTTCAATGTGATAAAATTCATCGATTTATTAAAAATATTTCTTATGGGTACCTACCTACTTTTATCATAAAAATAATAATTAATAAATAAGTAACAATAACAATGTAGAAAAAAAAACATTAACGGGTAAATTTAGGTTTATCAGGTATTATGTACACATTTTTATATTTGAAATTTCTACGTGCAGTAAAGCAGATATTAAATTTCATAATTAAAATTTTATGTAACTTTCCAAAAAGAGTGTAAAAATTCAAACAGATAAATTATTAGTTTGCAGATTAAATAAACATTCCTGTAGCTACAAAAACGAAATATTAAACATTAAATGTGAATTATTACATTATAATATGTAACAAATTGTAAATACCTAAATACCAAATATTCGTTAAAAAAATAGGAAAAAAATCTCTATCTATTCAAAATCGTAAGATTAAAAACATTATAAAACATTGTAAGTTGGTTTACGTTGTTGTAAATAAAAGAGTTTCTAAAAAATAAGTAACAATATTTGAAACTGTAATATACTGTCTTCATTGCAAAAGCAGAAAGTTATAAAATATTAATTATAAATTCGTTAGATATTATAAGAATTTTGTTTATAAAAATTACTTAAAGTAACCATAATTTTAAGCACATACTCGTAAGTTGTTAGATTTGTTTGCACAATTCAACATATTTGCAACAAAGTAAGTAGCTGTATAATAGTGTTTGATTCAGGTACTTTTATATCATTTTCTAACAGCAATAAATAATGTGTTTAATGGCATCGTAAGTTGTTTAACGCCTAAATTCATAAAAAAGATATTAAAGTACATACTTTATATACGCTTAAAAATGTTAAAAAAATACCAGTTTAAAGTTTGGCAATGTATTTAAAAAGCTGACTCATAATAATGCTGATTCGGAAAAATTATCCATTTGAAAATAATTTCGAAAGACAGAATTTAACATTCTTAAAAGCGTGGGTATAACACCATTATATTTATAGAATATAGTTGGCTCCACATTTCGTATATGAAATTTTTATTCAGCGTTTTTAATACAACGGTGTTTTTACAAAAATGTAAGTAGGTACACAAAAAAATGTCTGTTACCTATGCTAGTGTACACAGTACTGCAGAAAACGACGGCATTCCAAAACGTCCAAATTTTGTTTTCAATACCATTTGTAACGGCGAGCTTATGATGCGAATAGTAATTTTCTAATCTACTTTCATAACGTTTTTGTATATGTCTAGATGCTTCTCCTATCCATTCGTCTAGAGATTTCTCAATAGGAGTTTGAAGAGACGTCACTCGAAGTTCTCGGAGAAGTTCATCTCTAGAATCTTTTAAATCTAGTTCTACGGTTGATTCAGCTCGGCCTAAAAAAATTAAATAAAAACACATAAAAATCCATTCTTTTAAACCAAGTAATTTGTTCTATTTTTTTTTTTAACTTGAATTGCT